TAGGAAGCTATTAATTCATGGACATACCCATCATGGTCGGGCGCCTTACCTTCTTAGAGATCCATCTTACTGATCAATCCATCTTACTGATCAATCCTAACATTTTTGTTCTATATCTGTATCACACTGTAAAGAAATTGGGAGCCTCCAAATTGCTTGAAAAAATCATGATGATAACCACAGAATCAATGTCTCCAATAAACTTCATCATCAGCCGATTATGTTGATGTGAGACCTCTCTAATCCACGTAAGAAAAACTACAGTACAATACAATTTCATAATTTTTCATAGAAAGTTTGCAATTTTAGATTATTACATAAAATTAACCCGAACTTCCACTCTACGAATCAAATACATTTCACAAATTGCGAATTTAATATTACGATATGTTTGAATCGACATTATAGCTACTGTACTGTACAGTACATTACATAGTACAGCACATATTTTAATTCATTAATTCGTTAACAAACAGGTGAAGTAAGGTCTTCAGAATTAAATATATTTATATAATTCTCTCTTATCTAATTAGTTAATTACATTATAACACTATTTCGTTTCTTACAATATTTATTGTATAATACCGACTTTAATAATTGAAATTAAGCAGTCGGGTTGCTTTAACGTTCACGAAACATCTGAAAGGCTGGTTTAATAAATAAATAAGAATTGAAGCAAAAAATTTGAACTATAACCTTAACGATTTTCTATAAAGAAGAGAAAAACTGCTTCAGGGAACAAGAATTGTATCCTTTTAGATTCATTCATAATGAATCTAAAAGGATACAATTCTTGTTCCCTGCAGTAAAAATGCAGTAAAAACAGTAATCCTATTGGTTATTATTTTCAATCTCTGCTTTATTAAAATTGCAAATAGATAAATTTATAGATGTATAATATAAATGTACCGTAAAGATTAATATATTATACGAGTTTCTATTCTTAATAACTACCTATAGACCTGTTATTCAATACATTTTATAAGATGAATTGAACGACATAGTTTCAACATCAAATAGATCTTTAATGGCGTGATAGTTTCAGGAGAATAGATAAAATATCTTGTGGTGTGGATCAACAATAATGCCAGATCTAAATTCAATTTGGACTTGATTAATGAATCTTCTTACAAACATTTTAAATTTAATTTTCCCATGTTTTCAGTTAAGCATCATTATGAGAATTTCAGTTGAATTTCACCTTGTGACTCAGTCTTCTGAAATGAATGTATGTTTGCAACACATTTGCTTAATTTTCTACCTTTACACCTTCTGAAAAGTACTTTATTAATAGTGTACTCTATACAGAAAGTGCATTAAATTCTCTATAAAGCTAACTGTATTCAATTTTAAGCAATCCTCCAAGTAAATTTCGACTTATGCACACCAATATAAACAAGTTTAAAGAGAGTTTATAACTTGTTATGCCATTCCTAAGCAAAATAAAAAAAGATTACTTTCATTCATCTCTTTTCTCTTATTTTAAATTTAAAAAATGGATAAATTCAATATCTACCTCACTATGTATAACCGTAAAAATAAATAAACAACTTATGTATAAAGCTTTAAAACTTTACATTAAATATTATCGATTAAAGATGTATATGCTCTCTCTCTCTATATATATATATATATAGCTTTTAAATAATGCAAATAAGCTTCGTTTTAGTTTTTCTAGCGGATAAAATTTTTATATATAGTATTATAAATCTTGTTTTGGACACCTCATTTAAAAATAGGCAAACATATAAAAATAAGATAAAGATTTATCGTTGGGTTTTTTGTTTATAGGCTTACAAATATTTATAAAAAAAATATAATACAATATTTTCTCCCCCTTTCTATGGAAGCTAAACATTAATTTAAATATTATAAAAATTGATATTTGCAGTTTTAAAAGATATAAGAAAAAACAAATAAGATTGATTAAGTTTATAAACTTATAATATGATATATTTATAGAAGAAATATCGAAATTTCTTAATCATTTTTTAAAAATTAGGCATAAATTTCTGTTAAAATTTAGATAAATGAGTAAGATTACGTACAAATAATATAAATTAAGATTAAAATAAGGTATTTAAAGTAATCAGTTTTATTGCAGATAAATATTACAATCGAATTAGCTCATGTTTACGACAGTTGACAAATTTTTAATCGATTTTTATATAAAAATATTTTTAAAAATTGAAATAAAAATTCCAGTAAATGCATAACATCTTCGTATAGATTTTGTTTTAGTTATTAAGATTAAAACAATAAACAAAATATTTTATAAAGAAAATCAATAAAGTTATTCAAAATTTATTCTAATATTTACATAGGAAACGTGACCATTNATATATATATATATATTTAAGAATTTCACATATCTATTCAAAAATTAAATCCATTATTTATCGATTTAAGAATATAAAGAAGAATATTATATCATCTTATGAACGGTAATGGTATACTTAACAGATAATTTCATCGTTAAACAAAATTATTACGAATTTATGACTTCGATTTTCATATATTTATTCTGTGGATTTTTCCTCCTTTATAAAATATTTATAGTATTGAATAAATTGCATATTCGAGTTGGGGGGGTTCATCAAATTGTCAACTGTTACGTAAAAATCTTCGTCATTTATATTGCATGAAACGGCAGTTTAGAACCACATTGTTATTTTAAAGCGCTTATTTTATATTTAAAGATTATAAAAGAGAAATGAGAAAAAATAATAATTCGAAATCNCATCCACTCAATTCACTCAAGTTTCAATTTGAAACAATACAAAAGTTAAAGTTTTATCCTTTTAAAACTTTTAGAAATAAATAGTATGAATATAGTAGAAAGTTTGGTTTTTGCTCTATTGATTTTGCTGCAGGAAATTGGACAACCCTTCAATTTTCTTTGGATCAAGTTGTGAACAATACCACTCAGCTTTCATGACTCAAGTAGTAGAGAAGTTTCTTTTTTTAATTTTGACTCTAAAATTAAATCGTGTCTCAACCAAATTTTTATGGGCCTGTATTAAAATATCAGGCTTAAAATCTATACTCGAATATAAGATATTATAAATTTAATTACTTTCTTTAAAGACTGTTTCTTAGTTTAGATTTATATTAAAATATTAATATATATTTTGTATTATTTTTCCTACACTAAATTATTGATTATTTTAAGTCAAATATTAAAAATATGATATTTATCACTTAAATTCCTTTAGCGCTTAAAATTTTGTTTGTATATGGAGTGTTATAGCTTCATGGGGCCGAGGAGAATTTGAATTAGGGGGCCCCATACACGTGTTAACTTTAGACATTTTTCTTCCGAGAAATATTCTGGAGAAATATTTTCTTATAAAAAATTGATTTGGGGTCTCCTGTTGGTGGGGCCCCCAAATCAGTTTTTGCTCTTTTTGCTCATAGGATATCGTGCTACTGTGTTTATATGTCACCTTTAGCACAAGTTTTTTTAGAAGAATAAATTAAGACGAACGTATTTTTCAAGTTAATATAAATATGTTATATCGAATTCCCGTTATTGCGAGGTTCTTAATTTTTCAATGAATCAAAAAAGGCTTTTTTGATTTATTATAACAATTTTTATTGCTGTATTATATCATGTTTGCCATTAAAACTAAATAAAAATGAATATAATTTTTATTATTACTGTACGAATAGACAAATTAACAGCTTAAAATTAATTAAAAGACGTCTTAGTGCTATATCGAGTTTCAGTTTAGTATTGTTTAACTTGAGATTTTATGTAAATGTCAACCCTCTAAGTTAAGTTCCTTACTAAACGAGATAACGTTAATACATTATCCGTGACACTGAAAATGTCAAATTGAAAATTAAAATAAATTTTTGTTCATTTATAATTACGGTACTGTGATTATAACTAAATAATGAATTGAAAGGAACAAGTCTAAATAGAGATAGAACAAATGTTACGATGACTCGTTATAACGTTGATCCATAGCGAAATAAAATACAATCTCTTTTTTTTTGGTAAAATTTTTTATACAAATAGATTTTTTATTCACTTTATAACAATGTCTGCCATTAATATGAAATCCAAAAGAAATGCCCGAATTAAAGAAAATTTTCAAACTTAATTGACAATTTTTCAAATTAATTACCTGGTTTTTCAAACAGTGGTTACATTCTATCATTATTTTATCAAGAACAGATTTTTTTTGTTAGATAGAGACATTAAATCAAGCAAAAACAATAAAGTTTAATGAGATCGAAATGATTCTTTTGTTGATAGTTGTAATCCCTCGTTATTACGATAAAGATGCATTAATGAAAAATCATTAATCTCTCCATAGTTATAAAGAAGTGATGAGTAAAGATTATGAAACGTATTTGTTGGTTAAAATCTCTAAAAAAAACTACTAAATTTAATACTTAGTCAATGATTTTTATTAATTTTGATTTATAAAGATTTATCCGAAATAAGTTTAATTTAAAAAGAAATAATAATAACAATAATAGCTGATGAATAGAATCGAATTGTCGCATCATTTGTCACCTTATTATCTCGAAAAATTATGAAATTTCTTAAGAAATATTAAGTAAATAAATTTTTAAACTTTATCTAATAATTTTCTTCTCATGATTAAAATTTTTTCCTATCAAAATATGGAGGTTTAGTAAGCTGGAAATTTATTGTTTATTTATTATTTTAATTAATAAATCCTAAAAGAATTAAGGTGAAAAACCTAAATGTATAAAATTTAGGAAGTTTCCCTATTTTATACAAAATGTACACATTTTTTTTATATATATTTTTTGTCAGTTTTAATTATACTGTTGGGGTTTTTGTTAAATAGGGAGTGTGGATATGTTTTGCTGTCAGTCATTTCCTAATTGTGTAAAATAAAATTATCCAAAATTCAACCTTTATATTTTTAAGTAGAATAAACGTAATTTGTTCTTTAGTCAATACGAGAATCAGACGTCATAGAAAAAGGGATCAAACAAAAGCTGCGCGCGCCGTCCGCAGCAGGTGTGTTAATAGGTGACGTTACAGCATGCGCAGATCTCATAGCTCCCGTATCCACTCCACAACCTTCCAACGAAACTAAGACAGCTCCCGATCAGTCTGTATGATCACCATGGACGACAGCGATAATGAAAGACAGGAGCAAAATTCGAGCAATTTCATGCGACAATTCCGTGACAAAAATACCCGCGAACTGAAAAATTTGACAGCTACTCAATTCATGGATGTCTGGAGTCATTATGACAAAGATGGTGAGTTTTGTTGATGTTTTTGTTAGATTGACAGGCACGTGTGTGGCCAAATTTCTTAGCATTAATACCCGTTGCGCCACGTTTTGATCGATGTTTTCCTTCGTCCTTTTTAAGTCTTGACACCTGTAAACGCGTGCCATTGTTCGATATTTGTTTAATAAAATATTTACGTTCGTAACAACTTTTCTGTTATGATTTTCCTCATTTTATTTTAAATTAAAGTAAGAAAATTCGTGGAAAAAAAACGTGAAAGAATATTCTAAAAAAATTTTAAATTTCAGGATAAAATATGTTTTCAATTTGGATAGTGGTTGGTCCTCTTATTTAAAAAAAAGCCTTATATTTGCCATTCTAACAATGATAAAGAAAGCAGAGTTGACATTTTCTTCATATTGTCGAGCATTTCTTCAGCTCGAAACAATAACTACTTCACTGGATGACATCAAGAAGAGTTTTGTAAGGGAAAAAAATATTTTTTGTGCAAAAAAATGTAATTTATTTTAATGTTTGAATAATATTTCAAAAAAGAAAATAAATTACGTTTTAAAAAATATAAAAAATTGAATTAAATTCCCAGAAAATTCCAATTTCCGACCGTAATTGATAATAATATTGCTTTAAATTGAATGTTATTGCCGATTTATTAATAAGTAAGTTAGTAAATTTTTTAAACAAATTATTTATAAGGAAAATAAATTTTAAAATATTAATTCCCTTTTAAAATTAATAATCAAATTTAAAAATTTGTATTAATTTTAAATAACAATAATTAAGAGCATATTTATTATTATATAAATTATTTCCAATATAATAATTGTTTTAAAATTATGTATAAATAAGATAAGAGAGAACAATCGATTTATTAACTTGAATTTCGTATATATTGTTACAGAAAATATAATAAATAAAGTATAAATTTGTTATCGTATATCTTATTTACGTTGCTGTTAAACTTATTAAGTAGTCTAATAAATGTATTTGCATGCTTTTTTTTAAAACTTAATTCCCCTATCTCGAGAGAACATTCTTAGTTAAATCAAGACAAAATAAACACTTTTATTGACTTTTAAGAAGACTTGCAAGCACGAAAGAAAAGTGCTTCTTGATTGTAAAACAGGGAATAAATAGATCGAGTTAATTAGGTTGGACAAACAACCAGGACGCACGATTATCATAACAGTAAAGTTCTTTTGACAGGTTCTGTCATTTTGAAGGAGGATCGTTATTTTATAGATGGAACTTTACTCTTATTAATGATACGAGATATGCCACAGTTTTGATCTATATTAACGTATCACGCAGAGGGGTAAGGCGAATTAAGAATTCCTCAACCTATTGACTAACCATCATTTTTTAAATTTAATATATAAACTTTTAACTTTAATCAATAAGAAAAACTGTAAATCAATTTTTAACGCGCTGGAAAGTTTAATTAACTTGGAAATTTTAAAATAAAATTTTTCTGTACTGTACTGTACTCTACTTCGATTAAATTGAAATTGTAACATTAAAATGTCAGTTTAAGCGATTGGATATTTGTAAATCCATCATTATACTTGTCTAAATAGCGTAATTATCCTGTAGATGATAGTGTAGGATCTTTTCTGTACTCTTCCACTTCAAAGAGTTCTAATTGCACTTAACGGTGTTCGGTTCCGAGATAACCTTAGATTGCTATAAAAATCTGAACTTTTAAAGCTTCAATCACTAAGTCTTTTTATTTATTTGTATAAATATTATCCTATTATAAACATTTTTCTATAGAAATTATTCTAGAAAAAATTTTTTCGTTTGTTTTCTATGAAAGCTAAAATTAGTTATAAGTTATTACTCCGAGTCCTTACAGGTAATATATAGATGGAAGTGACGCAGAAAGTAATGTGTTAAAAGATAGATAATACTACTAGATTAGCTGTCAACTATAATAATACTGTTACTATGTTGGAAGGCTATTTCGGTAATGTTAGGTTAATTTTTTCGTTATTTGTAGGAACATTCAAGAAAATGTTCAGAATTGAATATTTTGTAAATATTCATTAATGTATTGCTGTCAGTCATTTCCTAATTGTGTAAAATAAAATTANGAAAATGTTCAGAATTGAATATTTTGTAAATATTCATTAATGTATTATCTTAATTTAAATATATATTATGTCATCGTTAAGTTTATAGCTATGTTATCTCAACGATCGTGTTGATTTATTTTAATATTGTAGCCTTTATAGAGTTAGTTTGTAGATAATAAGAGACAGAATAAATCATATTATTATTTAGATATTGCATAAACTTATTAAAATTTATATATTATTCTCTTATATTGTTAGTTTACTCTTTAGGATATTTATAAAAATGATTTTATTGAAATTTTCTTCGTTTTTTTTTTTTAATTTTTTCGTTGTAAATAAATAAAATACACACAAACAGGCCTATAATTCATGTAAATTGTATGTTCTTATCCTTAATAATGCTGTTAAATTAAATATTTAAAAATTAATTATGAAAAATTTACGATAAATTTAAAATTTATAATGTGATGCAATTTAGTCAAAATGAATAAACAACTTTTACAGCATTTAATGAATAATATAAAGTATTATTTGTGTTATAATATTAGCTTATATTTGTAATCAAATTGAAACATTTAAAAACGTATTTTTGTAAGTAAATTTTACAGGAAATTATTCTTTGAAGTTATTTTCAAATGGAAATAATTTTTCTCAAAGCTCATTTTTCAGTAGACTTACATTTCTAGTGATCGAAACGTTTACGATGTTATATCATTGCTCGTTTTTCTTCCTCTGTAAATATTTACTGGGAAAACACGTAGTAAATTTACAGGATCACATTTTTAGATAGAAAACATTAAATTATAAATGTTTCCTACGTCGAAAGTGTCTTTTTTTCTCTTCTTACTATCTGGAATTTTATCCAAAAAAAGAAAAAAGTAATGATGTGAATGCAGTTTTTTTTTATACACTTAAGAGACATTACGTTATTCTTACATAAAGGAAATTCTACAATACAAGCAAATAAGTGTAGAGCTTAGTATAATAAGTTAAACATTAAGAAGATTCTTTAGTATTTTTATTGTGAAATTGAACGTGGAAATTGTTTTCGCACTAAACCAAGCGAAAAATTTGCTAAACTTTCATAAATAAATAAAACGAAAAAAAAAGAAGAAATTCGATTCGGCTATTCAGTAACATAAACTTGTGAAAGTTAGGAAGCCGAACGTTTTACTTTAGCGCAGCAACTAGCTCATAAAGTCTTGTAACTAAAATTGCTGCTGCATGCAGCAAATTCCTGAAAGTCGCAGATATCAGAGTGAATTATGGAACATAAAGTTAAAGCAAACAGTAGAATTGAAACTAATAATAAAAAAAAACTAATAGTATATTCTATTAAGTTTCTAAAGAATTATTTTTAGCATGATCATTGATAATATGCAGAGTTATCATCGTAATCTTATTGAATTTATGGAGCTATTCTGTCGCTGTTTCAGTTATCTCGAATTAACGACGTAAACGAAATTTTCTACAGTAATCTTAAAGTTAAAATTTAAGGAAATTGATGTAATTTAATCATGGGATAAATTCCAATTTAATGTTTTATCAATTTTTTTTGCCGGATTCTTTTAAAATATTTTTTTACTTAAAGCATTATAATCTCTATCTCTTATATGGTTATCTAAATTAAACAGATTGTAGTTTGTTCGTTACTTTTCTTTTTAAATATAAAAATAATCGTATTAATGCGTAACATCGCTGTATAGTCACGAGATACGATGGAAAACACATTTAAAAAACTGTTTATTAAAAAAAATAAAGAAAACTACTTCAAATTTATGTTTAATTATTAGATTTACATCAATAATTTTATATAAACGAACGAAATATTATTGATTTTTTGAAGAAGGAGGAAGGCGAAATTTCAAATTTTTAAACATTGTTAGATTCGTGGAATCTCTTCCGTTGAGCAACGAACGAGTAAAATAGAAAAATGTGACAATAGCTTTGATTTTCATTTTACTTCTTATCCAACTGCTATTTCTATCATATCTTTCAACCGTGAATAATCCCAAAGGACTAAGATCACACCAACCGATCCTTTGATATTCTCCTAGCAATTTACAAGACGAATTGTAGTAAAGTTTCATCCACCGACACATACAGCATCCATACATCACTTAAACTCGTGATACGTTTCTTATCGTCTTGATTTTCTATGTAACAACTTATAATTCCCTCGATAGTATAGGGGCGAAAATATAGCAGAAATATGTAGTAGTGTTCCATTTTCCTTACAGGGATAAACAACCAGACAGGATCTCCTGGGAGGTGAAATGTTTGTCGATGTTGTTTATCATGGTGACGTTTATCCATTTCCTGTGCTGCTGGTGTATGTAATCTCACCAATTGACGGATTTCTTTTGCAGTAGTCATTGGTTTGTCAGTATAATCTTACTCTTTGTTTATATAAAAGTATTAAATGACGTATTGTATCACCTTTCATTCAATTGTTTTTAACAGGAGAAAATTGCTTCCGAAATATTGTTATTAGGTCGTAATATTCCCATTTATTTTATTTATATTCGTAGAAAATACATAAGTCATAATAACTTCATTATTCGATCAATCTGCTGATCAACAATATGACATTATTAGATAAATGATCTCCATTATGCAAGATACGCTGTATAAATATAAGGATTCGATCCAAACAAGTAATTATGAATTATTACCCTTATTAAATTGGTATATCTGAAGCGATTTCCTATTATGTTATCCTGTTTGAATCCCATTTAAAACAGAAAATATTCAAGAATAATAAATTAGAATCCTTAAAAGTTACCTCTTTTTTTATTTTTGCATCCATTATTGTTTCGACTATCGTAAATATTTCATAACATAATTAATAATCAAGAATTAATTTTAAAAAAGTAATCGCCAAAAATATTTATTTCAATTCCCTAAAAAGCTACGAAGCTAATAAATTTTCAAAAAT